AGAGCCGAGTCCATCGGCTGGACCAAGCCCAGACACTCTGGGATAAAAAAAGTGGGGTCCACTTGGTCCACAAATTCAAAAAACACAATTGAGTTTATCTACTCAAATCCCTCCCTCCTCTTTTTGATATTTCTCTGTCCATTCACTTTCACTCTCTCTCCAAAATTCAAAAGCACTTTCTCTCCCCTCCCTCTCCCGAAAACACTCTCTCCCCTTCCTTTCCCAATACCGACGACGGCGATGACGACATTCAAGGCATCGGTGACTGTGGCTTTCACAGCAGCGGCGACAACGACTTTCAAGGCTGCAACGATGACGATTTTGACGGCACCACTGTGGTGAAGGCGGATTCGACTACTGTAGCAGTCGCTGAACAAAGAAAAAGAAGGCGACTGACGCCGTTGAGGTAGACATCTTCTCCTTCCCCTTCTCCTTCTGTTGGATTGCATATATTTGATCTTGGGTTTCATGGATTCGACTAGATCTGGGTTTTTCTTTTACTTCAATTTTTTTAATGGATTTTTATGGATTTTATGGATTTTTTTTCCTGATTTCATGGAAACCGCTGGATCTGGATTTTTTTGCTTCGATTTTTTAATGGGGTTTTATGGATTTTTTTTCTAATTTCATGGAAACCACTGGATCTGGATTCTTTCTTTTGCTTCATTATTTTGGATGAGTTTCTGGATTTGTTTTCTGTGGCATGGGATGCTAGTTGTTTTGTGGATTTGGGATATTAGTATAAACTCGTCTGGATAGTTTTCTGTTGTATTTGGATGTCAATTCATTGATATTAGTTTGATGAGTAGTGATATTAGTTGTATACTTTCATAGATATTGTTTTGATGTATTTGGATATCACCTCATTGATATTAGTTGTCACCTTTAAGGATATCAGTTGTATGATAGACTGAGTTTTTGTTGACGAATGTGGATATGACTTCATTGATATTACTTCTGAATGTTATGGATATAGTTAATGTGAAGTCCAGATATTAGTTAGCTTATGTCAGGATATTTTCCGTGCAGGGAAATCAAAATGGCAAGAACTAAAGGAACTGCAAAGAGGTAGCGAGTAGAAGGCGAATCCTCAAGACCTAACCGTGGCAAACAGCCACAGGAAAATGAGTCAGAGGAATATGAGGACCAAGAAATTGAATAACATTTTTTTTAATAATGGATGGTTGTTCTTTATGTTCAGGATTGTAGTTCTTTTGATTATGGATATTGTAATGAAAGCACATGTTAAGTAGATAGTAAACCCTGTCTGGATAATAGTAGCTTCATGCACAGATATTACTCTAGACTTTCTGAATAATAGTTGTTGAATGACAAGATACTAGTCTGGTATATAGGGATAATAGTTGCTACATGAGCATATAATACTTTGATATATCAGGATAATATTTCCTTCATTAATAGATATTGCTTTGGGCTTTCTGGATTGGAATGACATTAATACTAGTTGTATCACGGTTTGTCGAAAAATGATTTTGTTTTATATAGATTTGTTTAAACTCAATATCAACACAAACAAACATAGATAAACATTCACACAAAACAAATATCCAAACCACTCACACTAATATTAGTTCAGCATAACAAATATCCACACCACCCAGCCTAATATCACACCGTCTAATATCAATATCCAGTCAGTCCATAATAAATATCATCAACATCATAGACTAATACCACTACATCAAACTAATACATGACCATCGCGAATTAATACTCACTACACAAAAAAATACCCACACATCGCAAACTAATATCCTACCAATATTCAGTCATTCCCTAATTAATATCCTCACCATCACAGACTAATACCCACTACACACAAACTAATATCTGACCATCACGAACTAATACTCACTACACAGAAAAATACCCACACATAGCAAACTAATATCCTCTCATCACATAATAATATCCTATCACCACAGACAGATATCGAATCACCCTACATTGTGTTCATATCCATTTCCACAACATCATCTTCTAAATCCTAAACCAAACCAACTCTCACTCTAAACCCTAAAAAATATCCACACCATCCAAACTAATATCTCACCGTCTCAAACCAATATCCAGTCATAAAAAAATGTAATATCTAGCCATCACAGTCAAATATCCACAATACATAGACTGATATCTGACCGTCGCAAACTAAATCTCACTACACAGACAAAATATCGAACCACCATGCATTGTGTTCTAAACCACCAATCCTAAACTCTAAACCCTAAGTAGGTCAACTGAATGTAGTTGTAATTAGTTGGGGGGTTTTTAAATTATTTTGGTGAAAAATAAACATTAGCTTTGTGATGTAAAAAAATATAATCAGAAGGTCTAATAGGAACAACCATGCAGACTAATATCCAAATAAAGGAAACAAAAAATATAATCACGTAAAACTAATATTTTGTTACATAACGGGCAAAAACTAATATCCGTCCTCTATCGAACAAATACCCATTCACCCCAAAACAAATATGTCCTTTATCGAGCAAATATCGTTGGCGCCCAGACTAACATCCATCCATTCCAGATATAATATCCATCCTTGGGCGAACAAATATCATTGACACCCTGACTAATATCCAGCCACTTAAATTAATATCTGAAATCATAAACGGACTAATATCAGACCTACCATGACAAAAAAAATTTCATTTCCGGATGGTTTCCTCGGTGTTATCTTCATCCTCAGACAAACATCCATATCGTCCATACAAATACCCATTCACCCCAAAACAAATATACGTCCTTTATCGAACAAATATTCGTAACTCCCAGACTAACATCCATCCACACTAAAAATAATATCCACTTTTTAACGAAAAAATATCCTTAACATCCTAACTAATATCCAATCACATAAACTAATATCTGAAATCACAAACGAACTAATATAAAGGTTTGGAAGACACTCGCACTCCTACTACTATTGATTCATTGGCCTTCGGCCAATGGGCCCTCGGCGGGCAGCCCAAACTAAGGTTGCAAGCCTTATGTGTTAGGACTTGATAGTGTGTTTAGTTTTGATGGAAGACACAATTAATTCACAAACTAATATCCATCGCATATAATATCAGTTCATGCAAAAATAAATATCCATACTGCCCAGACTAATATCCGACCACATAAACTAATTTTCTTCGGTCCATGGATAATATTTTGGTTAAGGATGGATACTAGATTGGACGATATGAATATTAATCCGGGTTGATTTCTCTATTTCATGTTAGAATAGTTGGTGAGTAGCATTAATAAATAATCAAGATCTCTCCCATGTGAAAATTTATCAAAAGCAACAAAAGTAGCAGATGGTGGGTCATGCTTGTCTCTCTCTTTTGTCAACTCTGACGGATATTAGTTCGTGTACTTTTGGATATTTATTTGTCTCGGCTGGATACGAGTTATCTTAGCGGCTCCCTCTCTCAATCCCGCCCAAATTAAAGGTGGACCCAAGCCACCTTTTTCAGCTCGATCGGCTGGGCCGGCTTGTGGAAAAAAACCTACAAATAGCTCACTTAAATGAGCCATGGCTGGGCTGACCTCCTCACCCTTAGATTAAAACTGGGCCTATGTGGACAAATCTGGGCCTTGTGAGTATCTACTCACAAAACACCTTGTGAGCAGATTAACTTTTGCGGAAAATCAGAGGTGCCTCTGCCTCACTCTACCTTCCTCCAAGTTTCCCTTGTCTCAATTTATCCTTACCATTCATAAGTAGTCAATTCTCTGCTCCTTAATTTTTTTCCCACCTCGTTCCTGAGAACAGAGACGCAGACCAAAATTTAGGGATTTTGACTTTCTGATAATCCACGAAGGACGAAAGAATGACAGCAAAGGGAAAGGAAGGAAAACGCGTCTGAGTTTCTCCTTTCCTTTAGAGGCCAGCCGAAATGGGCTTTAATGGACTCAGCCCACAACGAATAAAGAAAAGAAAGAAGAGTACTTAGGTCAATTAGGCCTGTGATTAAGGCCCAATGAACTAGAAATAGTTCTTGACCTTTACGAGTTCTTCTACCCAGAACCAGGAAGCAGAGCAAAGAAAGAACAAGAAGCAGAGCAGAAGCAGAGAAGAAGAATTGCAGAAGAAAATAAATGCACACGGGATTTTAACTAGGTTCCCCAAACTATGGGTACGTCCTCGTCCCGGAGATGGCACCTGCCACTCTCCGAGAGACTCTACTTTTTATTGAATAACATAGTAAACAACTAAACTGAAAGACACAGTCGAAAATGAAACCCGAATCCAAACCCAGATTCGTGAACAGCCTCCTGCAACTGACTCCTATTCCCCAGTTACAAAACCCCTTAGAATTTCCAATAGTCCTATACCACTATCTTTCTAAGTGCCCAACAGAGATGAAAAAGGCGGTATATAAAGGGACACGAGATAGCCGTTGAATCCAAAACAAGGAAGGTGCTTTTCAAGCTTTCCATCTTTGAACCCTTTGATTCCTCAACGGTCAGCAGCAATCAATCTTCAAATTCAGCAGTTGCTACTGTCAACAGTTCCTAGCTTGGATTGGATTCTCCTTCCTCTATTGTCTTTCTTCGTCCCACCTAGAAGCTCACAGGTCGGGTCTTAGTAGTGACGTAATTTGAAGCTAGTGGGGTTTCCAAATCCGTTTAGGGTGGATCGTGGAAAAGAGGAAGAAAGTCTGGAGGAAGGAGGCACGATCGAAGAAAGGGATAAGTGGATCTGTTGTAGATTTAGGGATTTAATTTATGTGGGTCGGTTCACAGGTTAGGTTTGGTTAGAGGGTTGGGTTGGTCCAGATGACATGGCAGGATTTAGTGACGTGGCGGGTTGGGTCTCACTATTTTATGGTTAAATAGGGCTGATTAGACGATTCCGTCCACCACGTCAGCACTTAACGGAATCTGTTAACGGAGATGGACGGAGACTAACGGAAAGTGACCAAACGTGAACGTTTTCACTAAAATTGGTGACCACCAATGGATTTATATATTTCCAGTGATCAAATATGAACGTTTTTTGTAATCTCGGTGACCAACCATGCAATTAACCCCTAACTTTTTCGATTAACCCCTAACTTTTTCGATTCAACACGGTGAAGTTCGGTTGTTGTGAATGAAAACAGTGAAAAAGCCATATCAACCGCCAGCGTCTTCTGCATTACAACTAACAAAACCAATTGCAAAATTGAGAATGAGGATGAAGAACATCTCTCATCATCACATTCTAACCAAACCCTAAACCAAAACTTTGATTCAATGATGATCCCACCACCACAGCCTCAACCTCTCAACGGAAAGAAACAATCATAGCCAAAATCCCCCAGCCCAAAGCATCATCTCCAAAAACAGAAAAATCAAAACTTTACATGATGATGATGATGAAGGAAGAGTAGAAGCAGAAATAGAAGTAGACCAATATCAACTTAACACTACCTTGGCTTTCTATTCTATAGAGGAAGAAGAAGGAAAGAAAGAAAATGACACATACCAGCCAAAACCCACACTAATAAAGACTCAAACTTTCACCTATTACCAAAGGAGAAGAAGAACCAACTACGTACGCTGCAATTTCAAAGTTCAATAGAAGTTTCTCCAGCTCCTACAACCTTCCTTTCCACTAACCCTAGATGTAGAAACTACTACCACTACACTGCTAGCCTTTGTTCCTAATCCTACCCCTTCTCACAGGGTTTTCACAGCTACAAAACCATCCGACCCACCATGTTTCTTCTTCCTAATCTCCAAAACCTTACGGTGCGAATTCGAGTGCAGCTCCATCGAAAACGTCGGGCTGTTGGCAGGCCTGTACTCCGGCACCAGCCTCCCGGACTTGAACCTCACCCCACAGGCATTGCACAGCGTCTTGGCACCCGACGGGCCTGCCCTCCACTGCGGTGTCTTCTCGGAGCCACAATGCTCGCACTTCCTCCCAGCCGTCGACGACTTCCTGCCCCCTCCTCCCCTCAGGAATTTCTCATGGTTCCACCAGTACTGCCGCGGGTCCTGTATGTCGGTCCGGCACTTCAATCTCCGCTTGCTCCTCCTCGCCTTCTTCACCGGAGCCTGCAGGCTCCGGCAGTAGCTCATGATGAACCCCGAACCCAAACCACCACCACTACCACTACCAGGGTTCGAGCTGTGGCTGCTCGTGGTGCTGTTCTCGAGCACCGAGACCGGGCTGTGCTGCTTCGGCAGGCTGCCCGGGTGCTCGGAGACAATGTCGACGAATGTCTCGAGCGCAGGGAACGCTTCCTTGTTGGAAATCCATTCCAATTCTTCCTCAGGGAATTCCTGAAAGAAACAGAGAAATTTTAGTTAAAGTTTGGGTAGGTAACGGTAATTTTCGGTCATGGGTGGGAGCATTCTGGAATAAAGGATAAAATAACGTGGCCTATAATAATGGAAAAGATTGGCAGTTGTCTTTTGGTGGACATTTATTGGATCCACACTCAAAACTTGTGAGCAACAGCTCAACAAAGAATTCAGACCCACACTTGCGGAATTTACTCAAGTACCCTCACCCGCGGACAAGGCATTGAGGCAATACGCGGTTGCAGTTGAAAAGTTGTGAGGGTCAGAAATGTCATTTCAGAAAAGGCCCAATTGCTAATTTCTAAACCAAACAAACCCCAACTTGGTTTGCAATTTTCGAGAATTGAAAATAATAATTATAAAAAAAAAACGTTACCATTCAAAGAGTAACTCGGGCGAGTCACGATAAACTCGGACCCGAAACCCCCGAGTTCAACTCAAAAAACCTAGCCTGACTGTCGGCGCCCAAAAACTCCCCCGCTGCACGGCGGAGCTCGGCCGGCCTACAACACAGAGAGAGTCCGGGAAAGCCCACAGTGAGGCGTTCAGTGGAAATCGAGGGGCGGGGGAACTTACTGTCAATGGGTCGGAAAACTCGAAGGGGGAGGGTCCGACGCCATCCGGTTTAACGGAGGAGGAGCGGCGGCCGGGGTTTGAAGGTGTCTGTTCGTCGTCTTCTTCCCCTATGTCGGAAGCGAAGTTGAGGAAGTCGTCAATGGAACACGGCGCCGTTGCTGGGTCAAGATAGTCCATATTATCTTCCCCAACGCAGCAAAAAGGACAACCGAGTTGGATTGTTCCGGCGACGGTGAGAACTAAGTGGAGAGAGAGAGAACAGGTAAAGAGCAGAGAACGGAACAATGGGGAAAAAAAGAGGTTGAATGTGGGAGGATTGATTGTTATTGTAGAAGGAGAATAAAGAAGGAGAGAGAGAGAGGAAAAAAGGGAAGGAAACGAGGGAAAAAGTCTGCTTCTCTGCTTTGGCTATTGTTATCGTTATCGCGAGTCGCGACGGCTTCGAGGTTTTTGGGTGTGAACTGGCAAGGGAAAACAAAGGGATATGTGGATTTTTAGATTATTAGCGGGTAGGGGTGTGCAATTGTCCGTTATTAGCATGGTACATATAAAATCGTATCGTATCGGTGGTTCAACCACAAATTACTATTATTGAACACTAAAATACCCTACCTCAAACTTTTTGGCACGATCTGTTATAGACCATGTTACCTTATCCATTAAAACGCATACTTTGGGAATTTTGTCTTCCTAATTTCCAAACCCTAAACAACTAAACATTATTAGTAGTGGTAACTAACCTCCTTGTGTGAGGAGGATTAAAAGGATGGGCTCCGGCCCGCTAACGCAAACCATGGATGGGCCTTGGCCCTGCCCTGCACAAGAGAGAGCGGACGAGTTGACGACCACTACAATGCTCTTTCCGAAAAATCCCTTAAAACAGCCACGTCATAGTACCCAATCACATCCTTCCACGTGGTACTGAAGCAAGTGCCGCCTCCGCACTCTCGCCAATTCTCTTTTTTCTTTCAATTTAAAGGAAATAAATCAGGAATATTATTTTCGGAAAATGGCAAAAATGTTCTTTGACCCGTCCGACACCGCACGTGGCGGCGCTAATCATGTTGAGAGATGCATGATTCGTACAGCACAAATCAATCTGCTGTTTTCCACTTCTTCCTTCTTTGGCTCAGATCTATTAGACTTTTGCTTTCCTGATCGCATGCGATTTATTAGGATGTTTATTAATTAATTAAACTAATCCTGTGGGATTTGGGAGGCAGTTAATTGTTTTCTTTTAAGCAATCTTGGGCAATTTGGCATGTGCAAGCAAAGGGGAAGAATGGATTCGATTGGATTATATTAGATGGGATCCGTCCTTGCTACATCTAATAATGTTTCAGACTATAGTTTTCGTTAGGGAGTGCCATTCTACTTTTTCTTTATTTCTATCTAGTCTAAGTCTTTTGGATTATCTCGTTTCAATTTTCCGGCCACCTCCATCTCTTCTTCGCGGACATTTAAATAAAAAGTTAAGTGTGTAACACCTTAGGTGAATCCCACATCGGCAAAGTATGAGAGAGATCCATGGTTCATAAGTAAGAAACCGACCTTAACTGATAAGATGTGTTTTGGGGTGAATCGGTGGAGTTCTTGTGAGAACTCCGAAGTTAAACGTGCTTAGTGTGGAGTACAACAAGGATGGGTGACCTTATGAGAAGTCACCTTAAATTGCACCCCAAGTCGATAACCGTGAGGGTCGAGGCCCAAAGTGGACAATATCTTCGTCGGGAAAAGGTACGAGATGTTACAAAGTGCTTAACACAGGAGTTCAACTTTTATGTGCTTTTTTGTTTCAGCCTCATTTCGGGACTCAATCCATGCCTCTACTCAGTTCCGAGCTCAATTCTCATATATTCGATCGGGTTATAACAGTCGTGGGTACTCTAGATTCATGTTTTCATCATATTCATCATACAAAACTAAAAGTTTGAATAATCAAATTGTAGGAGTTAGAATAAACAAAACAAGTCATGTATCCTTATCATAGAATTTAAATATAACTCTCGAAAAATACCTTATTTGATTACAAAAAAATTAACGAAATATATGGATTCATCTCGTCTCATCTTCAGGATCTTGATATACCCAATTTGAAAAATAATGTATATGTTGGGACACGATTCATAAGGTTTTGTGAACTTTCTCAATCAAACCATCTTAAATTCTCAGTAAGATTTTCTTTTTTTCATCTTTCATACGGAGAGGAGCCGAGAGTACTTCGATGTTTGCTCAAAGCTCTCATAAGCTCTCACCAAATCAACGTCTATCATCCTATTTTAAATCTCATATTAATACAAAATGATCTTTGAACTCCATATTACATGATTTCTAATTAGCCCACTTAACCAAATAACAATTACTTTTACTAACTATGCTTTGAACATCAAAATAGACCCCTTGTCGTGGTCCATGCCTCTCGTAATCTCAACGATTAGGTTGGATGAAGTTCCACTCCACACGCCTCTACGGACTACGGCCAGCTAGCTGCTTCTGCGAAACGGTGCCGTAGTAAGCTGATCGTTGCAGTCTATCTTCATTGCACACGTGGCGACATGCCCGTACTTGGAATCGGCCGTCGCAGTTCCAGTAACCCAAAAATTCCTGCAGAGCTCTCCGCTCAACTGATTCACGCCGGCGAAGCAATACATAGTTCTGGACTGGAAAGTCGGCGAAACCTGGAAGACGGAGGATTCTGAATTTTGGAGCTGAGATGGATTTGTAAGCTAATGAGAAGAAAAACCCGAGGAGAATAGGAAACAGAAGCAAGCAACTATGCAGGGGCTGAGTCTCCAAAGATCGCCATTTATTTCACCGGCGAGGCTTCAGTCCTTGACTCCGGTGGGTTCATTGCCATGTTGTGTCAGCTTCTCCACGTTGAAACCCATCTCTACTTCATGTAAGCTGTCATTTTCCCTTTTGCCCTGTCTTTGTTTCTACCCCGGTTTCTCCATCTCTTTCGTTTAATGATTCTGGAAAAACCTCGTTTATGCGATAAAGCTTGCTTCTTGAGTTGCGACCTATGATTTTACTTAGTTGGTTCTTCAATTTGAAGAATTTGTAGGCTTATTGGATGTGAATTTTGATAATCTGGGCTGGCCACTTGTAGTCAAATGCTATGCATTTGGGATTTGGAAAGTGTTCAAATTTTCATTTGGTGGATGTTCTAAGAGTGAAAATCTCATTTTGCTTTTTCCAATTGGCATGCTTCGATTAGAACTCAAATCTATTTGCATCAGGACTACTCATGCTAGTAGCTAGTCACAAATTTGCTAAAGTTGGATCAATGTCTCTTAACATTCCTTGTAGCTAGATTAAGAGATATCATGAGGCTGAATTCTGCGCTTCGAACGGTTAGAGCTCAGGCATCCAACATTAGCATTGGATCAGGGGGATATGAAGGTGGGGAGGAGCAAGATAAGCAGAGAAAATTGGTGAATGGACCAAGTGACAGTTCATCTGACAAGTGAGTGAGTGATATTGAGCCTTTGACTGTCTTCCTTGAGAACTTCATGAAACAACCTAATCACTTGTGTTTAACCCTACTGATTTCGCAGAGCGAAACCTCCCACCAAAATTCCCTATCCCTTATCTATAGCTCTTGTGCTACTTGGATGCGCCGTGGTATATTCCCTCATCGTCTTTGTGAAGGGTGAACCTTCTGCTATCTTGGCTGCAATCTCCAAGTCGGGATTAACTGCTGCATTCTCGTTGATATTTGTGTCAGAAATCGGGGACAAGGTGAGTTAACCAGTTTTGTGCCACTATTGTTTGTCAGAAATGGAACTGAACTAGTAGCAAAGGAAAAATTGTTAGCAGTAATGGTTGTCACAGTAATTTCAGATTTTCAGTTTTTCCTATTAAAAACTCCTTCCTTGAGCCTAAATGCTGCTTTGTGTTCGTTTACCAGACATTCTTTATTGCAGCACTCTTGGCTATGCAATATGAGAAAGGACTGGTATGATCTCTCTCACTCATATTCTCCCAATTTCCATATTGATAGGAATGTTCAAAGTTATGGATAAGTTGTTCCCTTTTGAATCAATCCTTGGCAAGGTTCTCTTGGGCTCAATGGGTGCTCTTTCACTCATGACCATCTTGTCAGTTGTCATTGGACGTGTATTTCGGTCAGTGCCGGCTCAATTCCAAACTAGTAAGTAGTTATATGTCTTGCCATCAATCCCTTGATTTTACTTCGGTCATGGTTTATTCTCCCTCAAAAGAAACACGAGTTTTCATGTGGTTTCTACAAAATTATATATTATAATAACTTGCTCTGATTTCTGTTACCTTATTGGTACCGCTACAGCCCTTCCGATTGGAGAATATGCAGCAATTGCTCTTCTCTTGTTCTTTGGGCTAAAATCAATAAAAGACGCATGGGATCTTCCATCAGCTGATGCGAAGAGTGGCGAAAAAAACAGCCCTGAACTGGATGAATATGCTTCAGCTGAGGAGCTTGTGAAGGAAAAGGTGATCATTCATAAATTGTTACAAGAGTATCACAGTAGCTTCTGTATGTTTTGTCTACTGTATTTTAGTGATTTAGAGCTTTTTGGTGTTTTTGGTCCACTACTTAATAAGTGATTTACTCCATTGCTTCAGCTATCCAAGCCACTCACAAATCCATTTGAGATTGTCTGGAAGTCATTCAGCCTTGTATTCTTTGCTGTAAGCTAAGGATCTTTGCCTTCTTGCTATGCACAAAACTGTTATATCATTAGCTAATTAACTATGCTGACTAGCAATAAATAAAGCCAGCCTCATTTACTACAGTAAGTTTCCTTGTGAGCTTTGCATCACTCAAATGTCTTCATTGCTGCCAGGAATGGGGAGACCGCTCAATGCTTGCCACGATTGCCCTCGGTGCTGCTCAGGTTGGGATTTCTGGTGCACTTAAGCCTCATGTGTCAAATGATCATAAAAAACAAGCATAACCTACATGTTTCTGTTTCTTACGTTCTCTCTATTTGCCTTCAATAGTCTCCATGGGGTGTAGCAACCGGAGCCATTGCTGGACACCTGATCGCGACATCAATTGCTATAGTTGGGGGCGCATTGCTCGCCAACTACATCTCTGAAAAGCTTGTAAGAACCACAGGATTCTGGTTGCTATGATTTTCTGACCTGCATTATTCCTGTTTTTCCTATGACCATTATTACTCACCAAACTCTCTCTCGTCATCAGGTTGGCTACGTGGGTGGAGCTCTCTTTCTCGTTTTCGCTGTGGCTACATTTTTCGGCGTCTTCTAACAAAAATCTCCTTGGGAATTCACCAGTCAAGAGCCTACGGTAGTGGACTGTGGTTCAACTTGCAGACGGTATACAGTACTGGCTGTGGCCTGTGGGATGCTGGGCAGAGAGCAAGCAACAAGCAATAATGGTGCCCTTTGTCTGTAATTTGACACTCTTCAGGAATAGGATGACCTTAGCTGGATTAAACAATTAGTTCATCTTTGGAGGGAAGAAGGCGTAGCATATCATTGTATTGTACTATTGTTGTAGTAGAAGAGTCGCGAGGAGTTAGGGCCACTGAGAGTTTTGTTGTAACAGTAGATCTCTTTAGGAACCTCAGTTAGACTCTGTTCTTGTTGGTTGGGTATTTGAGGCAAGTCACAGTAAATAATCAGTGTGAAATAATTGGTTACAAAACTTGACCAGCTCCTCCTTTCGGTCGCTCTTGAACTCTGTTTCTACGTGTAGTAAGTGGTATCATTGAGTGGGTATTACATCATTCAAATATACACTGCTGAGACCTGAACCGTCCATTCGACAGCATTTCAACAATACGCTTCTCAAGCCTCGCTGCTCCTTTTCCAGGTCTCAGAACATTAGCATCCCCCCAAACGGAACATGTACCGTTCGCAGGGTCTCCTAAGCACCAGCCGCCAGGCACAATTTCCCCCGGGCTTCTCCCCAGGACGTCACTGTCTATTCGGTCAAGCACTGGATCGTCAGGCTGGAACTCGGTGGCGAATGCAGCTCCACTACGGATCATGGCATTGAAGTCGGTGGAGTTCAGGGCACGAGGCTCCTGCCTGAAGGACTGATCCAGGATTTTGTACTGCAAGTCCTGGTTTATAACCGTCCTGTTGAATTGAGGCGAGTTGCATAGCACTGTAGGGAAGTAGCTGGTTATGGAGGACATTGTGTTTGAGAAGTACATCAGCAAGATCCTTGGGAGGTTGTCTGTACCAAGGATGCAGTGCTCGACGAAGTTACGACTGAGAAATGAGAAGGAAGAGCCTGCAAATAAAAGGAAAGATAAATAATCGGGTTTTCAATCATCTCTGTCCAGAATTACAGGTGGACAGCAGCACAACATTGAGAAATTCAAGTCATGCAGAACAGTGTTCAACTATGTAAACCAAACGGTGATTAAGTATAATCATGTAGTAAACCTCTCATCAACCAAAAGGAACATGGGAACTGTCATTTACAGAAAGAAAGGTTTAGTTCACTAGTAAGAGTTTCCAACTAGGCCGCCTTTCACCCATGGAAGAAGATAACGCACTATTTAGGAACATTTCAAAGGGCAACTCCATTATGGAATGCAAACAGCCTTCTCTCTACAATCACAGCATCCTATCATGCATATGCAAATCTTGAATCCAGTGGCATAATTGGCAACAACATCTCTTTGACCCACATTTTCACTTACAAATTCAGACGCCATCATCTACATTCCTATCTCTCTTTCCACTACATAAAATTGGTACCTTTTTAGCAACAGAGTTGCTTCTTCTGGCCCCAGAATGATGGGAAATCAAACACCCTGAAAGCTAAACAGGAAAAAAGTAAAAAACACAGACCTGTAAATAACTTGAAAGAAGTAGGCAACGGTCGCCGCTGAGTGGCATGGAACATGTAGCTTTTCTCGGCCAGATAAAGCCCTGGATCAACAATGATTGGTTTCAATCTTCTAGACCTGTAGTAACCCAACGTTTAATAAAAACACTTGAATCATCACAACCCAAGGAAACAGTGAATCGAGACCAGAAAACGATGAAAAAGTTAAAAATTTACTCTTTCCAGCCAATGTAATTACTGTGACTCACGAAATTGAGACCCTTGGGCAAGTAGGAGAATATGTGGAGCAGATCTGCAAGAACAGACCACCAATTTGATTAGAATCGGAAGAATTGCAGATTCCCCATTGTAGTGAGTGAAGAAAAGTTACCATCTTGGGTAACAAGAGGGTAATCAGCAGCTCCCAGGCGAACAAACCAATCCCAATTCTTGGACAACTTCAGCAACAGAGACGCGCCGTGTAAAGTAGCCGCAACCGGCGACGAACCTCGCCGGTATGCAAAATCCGGCTTCCCAATCACATCTACATTCTGGGCAGCCCGGAAGACGGGGACCGATTCAACGGCCAGGGCCAGCCGCTCCCGCTCGGCCGGCGCGGCGGAGGGGTCGAGGTGGAGCAAGTAGCGGTTTTTCGGGTGGTAGACGGCGTAGAGGAGGCGGAGGATCCGGCCGGAGTCGCCTTTCGATCCGGTGATCAGGTAGGCGACGGAAGGCGGGGCGGGATCGGAAGGGATTTTGGAGAAGGTGGGTCGCCGAGCCGGGAAGAGGCGCGGGTCGGGTCGGACCCGGGCGGAGGAGGAGGAGGAGGAATTGGGGGAAGAGGAGGAGGATGAGAGGGTCAAGATGAAGAGGAGGGAGAAGAAGGAGACGGTTAGGATGACGGAGATCTTGGTGGTTCTGCTGCCGTTGTCCTTGCCGGCGGCGGCGGTGGGAGTCGTTGGGCGCGGCGACGGCGGCGGCAGTTGGTGTTGATGTTGCGTTAGCATCTCGTTGCTGCCGGTCTGAGGAGTGGCGGATGAGGATGTTGCGATGTCGTCTGTGTTTTCTGTCTGTGGGCTGACGGGATTCTTCTCAAGGCTCTGTCGGTCGGAGTTCCCAATTTCCTCGGAGAGTTGTGTTTGGTCTTGGGTCTGGTCTCTAGGCCTGAATTATTGGACTTTGTCGGGTCGGGGTCTTACCACAGTTTTCTACTCTTTTTTCTTCTTCCTTTTGTTTTTTGTTCAGAAAGATTTCTTCAAAAGAAAAATAATTAAAACGGTAAGGAAATAAACTTTTGCATATTTGCATTATATCCTGAAGTAATTATTTACTCTAGAAAATAATTATTATTCAACTTAGAAATCTCATTGGTTAAGTTTTTTGTCACTAAGAAATTTAGCTCATCCCAAATGATCAAAATTTGTTGAAGTTCATCAGGGAATGTCTTGAATTTGTTTGCCTAGCATCCGAACCTGTAGCATTGGTGGCACAAGGGTCACGCTCTTCTCCCCTACATGTAGGGATACAAAAGATTGTGATAGTAAGCAAACTACATATTTGTGCTGTTAATTTCTCTTTGGGGTCATTTGGATGCAGGTTTTGGGTGTGGGATTTGGGCACAATCCTACATAATGTGGGATTTTATTAAAATCACTCATTTGGAAAGCAATTATATGATAAGAGATTTTAAATATTAGAGATTTCAGAAACCCACAATTGTGGGATTATGAAATAGCTGATGGTGATCAGCTATTTTAAAATCCCACACAAATCCCACAAATTAAAAACCTAGGTTTTTAAACTAGTGATTTGAGCCAAAATCCCACAAATTAAAAACCTGGATCCAAATGACCCCTTGGGAATATAAAGAAGGCCCAGAAGGAGAAGCCCAAGAAGAAGAGCAAGAGCCATGAATACAAGTTCAAAGGGGTTAGAGACCAGTTAAAGGGAGACATCTGACAACCGGAGTGCGTAGGGACAAAAATTTTGACAAAAGACATGTAACGGGCAGAAATGTACGGAAAGCTGAACGGTTTAAATCATGCGTCTAGGATCTCTGATGACGATGTTAGATGGTTGGGACGCATGGTAAAAAAAGGTAAGGTGCATCAATTATCATGTTGATATAGGGCGGATTTGGGGGCATTGGTCGGTAGGGCTCACAGTATAAATAGTAGAGTAGGTAAACCTCATTTGGGTGAGGGAGCTCTCTCACTAAAACCTTCTTCTACTTCTCTCTCTAAGATATTGTGTTGACTTGATCGTCAGAGGTCTAACAGGGGAACTGGGGAAGTAAGTCTGTTGTGCGCTATGTGTGCAGAGATCCACGCGCCTCAGAAGGAGGAAAGGAAAGAAGGTCGTACAGATAGGGGAAACGTCACGTGGCTCAAACAATTGGCGCGTCAGGAAGGGGAGTATGGCCAAGAATGTGACAAGGGGAGTCATGGAGGAAGCTGGTAGAAAGGTGGGGGAAGCAGAGCGCGTGCAACAAGGGGTGTCGGAGGAAAGATCTGTAACACCCCAAGGAAAGTCCAGGGACGAAGCACCCATGACCGCGCTGAGCCCACTCGGTCAGTGAGCGCCTTGCTCACCAAGAAAGACTTGATGCGGATCATCGTGGATCACGATCAGGCGCTGGACGTGCTCAAGTCCGAGCGTAGATTAGGGGAAATGAAGCCACGAGCATTGTGAGGCGCACGGGCACAATGTAGCACTTGACGAGGCACCTTGCGTCTGGTTTCGACTAACACAACGGATGGGTGCATAGGTGCATGGACAAATGGCGCCCGAAATATCCCTAAGAGCTACGAAGAAGAGAGGGTCAAGTTTTCAGATCCAGATGATTTAATCGGTCGAATAAGGACGCGTTATCATGATAATAGCTCATCATATTTTGTTATGGTGATTTGGTCTAATCCCAAGTTAAATTTTATTTGAAATTCGTCAAGTAAATATATGGCATTGCTCCATAACAAGCTTGGCAAATAGCCAAGGGTATTTTACCCTCCCGGACCCGACCCAATAAAACGTAGAGAAAATTCGAGTTGACTAGATTAGGGTCAAAATCGGGTATGACCCGAAACATTAATTTCCAAGGATGAGTAAGGTACAAGCTTCTTATTATCCACCCCGAACACGCCCGGAGCCCTATACGACCATTAATCCTAATTTCCAAATCAATTTCATCTGCCAACAGTCCTAATTACTCATTCTTTCATATCCTGGGATTCGGTTTAAGTCTCTCGGGTTTCGGTCTAAGTATATTAACACTTCTTGAATAAAAATGAGAAGCATGTTCACTCATCAAATAGAAAAAAAAATATATTTTTATAATACTAGACGTGGTTAAAATGATAGTAACTAGAACCCATATACACTAACGCTTAGAGTTAATTAATATCGAACAAAGTCATCCCCCAACTAACTCATAGTAGAGGGACTGATTTGATGACGAACTCAAACAATTTGCGAAAAATTCATACATCAATATCCAAACTTCTCTCCATATTTAGCATAATTTTGTTATAGATCATCTTATCCTCATTGCCATATTCTTTGTTGACGGATTTTTCTCTTCAACGATGCTTGTTCCTCGCATAAATTATCGTAGATTAAATGATCAAAATTTCCACCAGAACAACCTTCTTCTTCTTCATTCATCGCAATTCACCCCTGCGTATAAATTCGGAATCGAAACCCTCACACATCATCATCATCATTCTTCACCCTAACCTCATACATCAAAGCAAACAAAAAAAAATTAAAAAGGGAAGAATACAATGGGGAAAAAGAGTGGTGCTCTTGTACACTGGCTCCTGCTCTTGTCAACACTACTAACCCATGTGTTGGTCGACGTTGAAGCACACAATTATTTCCCAAAAACGAAGGTGGTGATATCAAACCAAATTGAAGGAGGGCCAAAGTTGTTGGTTCATTGCAAGTCCAGCGAGGACGATCTGGGTGTGCGTTGGTTGGACCCAGGCCAGAGTTTCGTCTGGACCGTCCCCCAATCTTTTTTCGTATATACCGAGTACTTTTGTGCCTTCCGATGGGAAGATGGAGCTCATCTTGTTTGGTTTGACATCTACAAACCAGAGAGGGATCATATTGTGTGCAAGCTGTGTCAATGGGCCATCAGGAGAGACGGGCCGTGTCTGGCGGTGCCGGGTTCCAAAATGTGTTATCACTGGACTTCCCATCTTCAGTCCGTCAATAAGCTCTTTTAGGCACACTTTAGGTGATCAAGTTCATTTGGGTTTACGCAAGTTCTATCGTTGGGTTTTATAGTCGGTATGTATGAATAATTAGTTTGGTTGAATCTACACTTAAGAATCTTGTTTTGCTGTTTTATTGGGAATTTGAAGTGGAATAAGATGAAAGTTACTCTTCTTATTTATTACTATTTTTTTAATCTTATTTATTAAGGCTAATATCATCACAAAATTTCGTTCCATTAGCATTGTCCATTAATGATCAATGAGTTGACTGCTGATATGTTAGTTGACATGAATTAGAAGGATGAAGTGGAATTATTATTGACATCACTTATAATAAAACAAAAAATTCATATAAAAAAGCTCAAAATTTTCATTTCTCTCTTGCGACTTCCTCTCTTTACACCACCGCCACTCCCCTTGTTACCACAACTATCGAGTATCGACCTTCCAACCGTTTGCTCACCTATCTCCTGCGCTTTTCCAAAATGTCTTTGAACCTGCTTTTGGGTATGAGCTCTTTTACATAGTAGGATTTCCCTTTCAATTTAGCAACCTAAGTGATATAATCAAAGTTGCGCAGGGTCAAGCTTCTCGAACCAAACAGAACCAGATAGGATGGAAATCGATCGGACAGTACTCACCCGTGAATAAGGGCAATCGATATATGAATCGATTGGACAGATTCAACTCGGAATAAAGGGCAATCGATATGGGTAGCTCGCCACAACCAGGGTGATTACCTAGCTGATAAGAGTCGCTCTAGCACTCTGGAGATTCTCGACAGAGTAATTAGGGCAAATTCCGCGTAGGGAACTCGGCTTTAGCCTCTGAAATTCAATAATAATCGTCTAAGGGTAAAACCAACGTGTTCAGCCCTTTAAATAGGCAAAATACAACCCAAATCCGACTCCAACATGGAAAAACAATCATAAACCGATTTTAAAACAAGGAAACTCGGAAACAGCCCAGCAAACCCGTTAAGCCCAAACCGTTAAGCCTGGACCCGTTAAGTAAACCCGTTAAGGCTGGACCCGTTAAGCAAACCCGTTAAGGCTGCTTCTTGCAATCTGCCTTCTCCTCAGCACTTCCTCCTTCTTCCTCCACTCGAATCATCATATATGGCTTCCCTCGAAATAGCTCCACATCCATGGCTCCAAAGTAGCTATCCAAATATGTCGCAAGCTTCTCCTTCAACGTCCTTGCCTTAGCATGTGTGACTGGCCCATTGATGTCCTCATCAGCCCCTCCTTCTTCAAAAGGATTTGCCCTCAAATCCGAATTGCCATCCAAATAAGGTGCAAGGTCAGAAACATTAAACGTTGCACTTACTCCATACTCTCCCGGCAAGTCGATCTTGTAGGCATTGCTTCCAATCTTCGAAACCACCTGGAAAGGACCATCACATCTGGGCATTAACTTCGATTTCCTCTGCTGAGGAAACCTCTCCTTCCTCAAATGCACCCACACCCAGTCGCCAACTTCAAAGTGCCTCGGTTTCCTGTTTTTGTTCACATTGCGCATGATCTGCTCCGTCCTTCTCTCAATGTTCAATCTCGCCTTCTCATGTAAACTCTTCACGAACTCAGCTTTCTTGGCTCCATCGAGATTGACCTGCTCATTCAAAGGTAATGGCATCAAATCCAAAGGAGTGAGTGGATTGAAACCATACACGAGCTCAAACGGAGTGAACTTCGTCGTCGAGTGCACCATCCCGTTGTAAGCAAACTCTACATGGGGAAGGCAGTCCTCCCAAACCTTAATGTTGCTCTTGATCACAGCTCGAAGCATCTGGGATAATGTTCGATTGACCACCTCTGTTTGCCCATCGGTTTGACGGTGACATGTAGTAGAGAACAACAGCTTCGTCCCCAGTTTGCTCCACAACGTCTTCCAGAAGAAACTCAGAAACTTAGTATCTCGATCGGATACTATGGAATGCGGCATCCCATGCAATCGCACCACTTCCCTGAAAAACAAATCAGCCACGTTAACCGCATCGTCAGTCTTATGGCATGGGATAAAGTGTGCCATCTTCGAGAATCGATCCACCACCACGAAAATCGAATCTCTTCCCTTCCTTGTCCGCGGCAAACCAAGCACAAAATCCATAGAGATGTCGATCCATGGAGCATATGGAATCGGTAGCGGTGTGTACAATCCAGATGATTGCACCTTCGACTTGGCCTGCTTGCACTCCACACACCTCGCACACAGATTCTCCACGTCTCCCTTCATGTGCGGCCAATAGAAGTGCTCTTGTAGACAACTCAGCGTCTTGTCTACACCGAAATGTGCCATTAAGCCTCCTCCATGAGCCTCTTTCAACAACAACTCTCGAAGTGATGATCGAGGAATACACAACTGGTTAGCTCGAAACAAGTAGCCATCACTTCGATAGAACTTCCCATCGCCATGCTGCTCACAAGCTCTATAGATCTCCCCAAAGTCAGCATCATCAGAATAGAGCTCCTTGATATGCTCGAAACCCAAATACTTCACCCCCATTGTCGTGATCAACGAATGTCTTCGAGATAGGGCATCAGCAACTACATTTTCTTTGCCCTGCTTGTACTTGATCACATATGGAAAGGACTCAATGAACTCAACCCATCGAGCATGTCTCTTGTTCAGCTTGTGTTGAGCTTTCAAATACTTCAACGACTCGTGATCAGTGTGAATCACGAACTCCTTCGGCCAAAGATAGTGCTGCCATGTTGACACGCTAAAACACAACACCTAACAATGGCCAAGTGTAACCAATGAAAGGGACTGCAGTATAGTGGCACAAGTAATAAATATCGAATCCACGGGTCTCTAGAGTTACTATTACTCAGCTTCAGTTCATTATCTAGCAAACTAGATTAAGGATTGATTGATAAACTACTCTACTGACTACTCTACTAATTACAAGTTGGGAACTCACTCAGGTATGATTCCCCCTAGCTCCTCAATTAGGTCCAAGTTGCAATTACCTTTGGTTGATCTACTGTCGATTAAACTGCGGAAGATCCTAAATTAGCTTGGAATCTCTTAAGCTGACCAAGCCCTCTCAGTCCAACTACCCGGCAGACGACTAGTCTTCACCAGGATAGAAAGCTGAGGCTATGAACACAGAACTCCACTACTGGAATGAATTCCAGTACAAAGCAGTGAATTGATTGACTCTCGCACAACCAATTCACCACTATCAATCAAGGAAGCTCTCTTAACCTAATCAGATTCTATCTATCATAGGTTAAAGCAGAAATCAAGAGAATTTGATCAAGATTCAATTGACTCAATAAATCATGCCTCAATCGATTATAATCAAACAATAAAGCATCCAAAACTTCATACAAGAAAGATCCTAACTCATGGAACTAGGGTTCCTCAAAACCTAAGTGAAGGGAAGTTAATCCATAGAGAAGAGAGAGACTGCAGAAATCTGATCTAGATCTTCAATCTCCATCTCCAAGCTTGATTCCCGAGCTCCAATGGCGAAGAAATCCTCCAAAATAGCTCCAAGAATGTCTCCAAGTCGCTCTCTCTTTCTAGGGTTCGTCCCTTGGGTGTTTGCGATCCAAAACCCAGCTCTCTTCCCTTTTGGCTCGGATTAGGCTTAAAAACAGGCTTCCCCGAGTTGCACGGCCAGGTGCACGGCCGTGCACAACACCATTCTGGCCGTGCACCCTCAAAACGCACCGTTTCACTTAATCGATCTCAGCCATCTTGCACGGCCAGGTGCACGGCCGTGCAAGGCTGGATTTTGCCCGTGCAAGGCCTCGGCAGAGAGCGCACGGCCAGAATTATATGTTGCACGGCCGTGCGCCTCCCTGGTCTGCCCGTGCAGCTTGCTCAGCCTCTGTTTAATGCTTCGTTTCTCCCTCGTCCGGACTCCGAATCAGTCGCCGTTTAATCCCAGACGCTCGTAGTCTCGTCCTATTTCGTTTCATAACAAGCTTGCATGATTATTTGTCCATAAAGTGAGGTAGAAATCCATTCTACTTCAGGTCATGCCCGAGTTTCTTCTCCCGAATCGTCAATTGATCTCTGATTGACTTGAAACTTGCGCCTATGCTTCACTTTATGTGCTAGGACCTGAAATGTGACAAAGGAACATAACCTAGCGTAAAATAGGCCAAAGACACGATAATTCAAGCTCAAACAATCAAGAAACATAGGGGAAAACATGTGCAAATACCGAGTCATCAAATCCCCCCACACTTAACTGTTTGCTTGTCCCCAAGCAAACCTAACTCAAACCAATGCAACTCTCCAGAGCTCTATAGCAACATACAACCCCGATCGTCGGTAGAGGATTTCCCAGATCATATAGCAGCTTACGAGGTCAACTGGTCTTCTAAGACGTTCCCTATCTCTCTCAATGCGAGTACTAGACTCAAGCCAGGATCATGAGAAAAAGTAGAAGTAAGACAGTCAGTTCATGGATAAAGGGACTCACACCATTCACAACCAAGGACTCGTTGTACCGGGGTGCTCTTTCACTTCATTTCACCGTTGGAACCCCTTTTTTCTCACTTTCATTTACATTTTTTCTTTCATTTGGTGGAATTCCAACTGCAGTCTTTTGCACGGCCGACCCTTATTAGTCGAGCAAGAGCAATTTCTGTACATCTGGCGCTCGCCAGAGTACTTCTTTTAACTCCTTTTCCTCAACTCGTGTGGAGGGTCAATGAAATTAAGGGGGGTCGGAAGCTCTATCCGTGCCCTTAAAAACACATCATCGAGTAGGCAAACCGCTCAACGGGTGGAAGTTTTACTTGTACTAGAGACAGCTTAGCTTCACCTTGTAGGAGTACCCCACTAAGGATCACTAAAATCTCTTCCAAAACCCGATTTTGTGCAATGAACGGTGCCACACACGTTGGGCTTACCCCATGTTTAAGATTTAATGATTTTGACATGGAGGACCAACTGCTTCCCATTTTCCATATGAGCACCCTGTTCGATACACGAGTCCATAACACAATCCAAATAGAGTCACCATTACCACATGAATTCAACGGTCT